CACACACACACACACACACACACACACACACACACACACACACACACACGGTGGGTTTTTGCAGAGTGCTGACAAAGAAATCATTTTAATTCTGCATCTAAGCATCCCAGTGGAAAAGAAGGCACAAGAATAGCAATCGGGCACACATACACGAAGCGCACACGCGCCGCTCCATAAATCATACACACCCCATCACACAAACACATAAGCAGAATGCGACTGAGTTACAGTAAAGGGACTGAGACTGAAAATCACTGCTTATTACTTTGTCTGAACTGCGGAGAGGCTGCCAGCCTCCCCTGAGGTTGCAGTAATTTACTTGTCCAATCCCCCTTTTCAACACGTTTTTCTTTCCGCGCTCCTCCTGTCCGGGGGCTCGCCGGAGGGACCGGGCCGACGCACAAAAGATATTGGCCCCCGTGTCAGAACTCACAAACGGACAAAACCGCGCCGCCGCCGCTCCGCAGAAAGGCTCGGCGCCGGGTTTTAATATCCCAAAACGGCCCCTTCTGCGACTCACAATAATGAATATTTAATGCGCTTGTCATTGTTCAAACCCCTTCCAGTCCTCGCACGGATCCAAATGTCCTCCCCGATTCATCATGTGCCGGCCGTCCTCTCTCTGGCCCCCACAGGGTCCAGCACTCTAAATGTTCTCCCTGCACTAAGCTTACACGTTTAGATGTGTGTCACCGCTGACAGATTGAGATTTTTTTTTTAGCATTTCGGTTGAACTTCCCTTTGAATAATCACAATGAAAGAAAGTGTCTTGTGTTTTCCAGGAAGCTTTTTTTCTTTTTTTCTTTCCCCACCCGGGTTAAAAAACGCTGCAGAACAGCCGGCTGCTTTCATCTCTGCATCCAGTTGATGCGCACGCTCTGAGCAGAGCGCCAGAAGAAGAAAACTCCAGATTCCCCGTTTTTTGATGAGCCGTCTGAGGAGCTCTGGGGGTCGGTCTAACGGCGTTTACCCGAGCGGTCGTCATTTCGGCTGTCGGCCCTGCTTCTCTCAGCCTTCACTCAGTCAGCCACGCCACTTTCGGGGAACTCAAACACCTGTCGTCATGTGGCTTTAATGGCTGCATTCACAGGCACAGAGCTAATGAGTCTTATCTTTTACACTTCCAAGTGTGTGCCGAGGATGTGGACCCGGATGTTTTTTTTCTTCCCCACCTCCTTGATCACTTTGACAAGCACACCTTCCCCCAGGACACACTGATTTAAACACACCACAGAGCTCCAAAAAAAAGAAAAACAGCATTTCATATTCAGAGGAGTGCAGGAAGTCGGTATTTGAAGTTAGAAACTGTTTCGGGTCTCTTGTGGCCGAAAGTTCAGTCTTCCGTTAAATGCTATTTTTTTAATGAAGCTTATTCAGAATACTTAAAAAAGGAATTCCAGTGTCTCATGAGACGTTTTCAGACACTTATGAGAGTGACAATCCTAATGGGCTGTAGAAACAAGCATCTCCTTATCATATGTTATCTTTTAAGATAGAAATGTTTAGGAGGAATTGTCTGAAATGGACATTTTACGCTTTTTATCTATAATATCATTGAATATATTCAGCTTGAGTTTCCATATGTAGAAAGCTAATGTAATTCATATGTAGAAAGCTATTTGCACATTTTTACCACTGATTTTTAGCTCTCTATTCAGACGTATGAATAATTTTCATCTCCCACATAATAACGTTACCCCAGATGTTGATGCATGACAGCGCTGGTGGAGGTGAAATTGTAAAATCATCAGGCGTTTTTAATGTTAGTCGCCCTTATTTTCACTTTTCTTTTACTTCTTTTGCAGTTCCTTGAGAATATCGACCCTTTCCTCGGTTCGTGCCGATCGAACAGATTGGCAGGTTTTCCGTCAGAAAGATGCATCGCGTTTAGCAGATCAGTGTTTTTTACGTCATCCGTCACTTCCTTTGACGTTGAGCTTCGCTACAAGAGGATAAACAATTTGAAAAGCACCCAGGCCGCTTTGCACATGTGTGAACGGCATTGTTCAGCCTTCATTTGGTCGTGATTCCCTTTTAAATCATTCGTTTATTAAACATAGTGTATACAGAACAGAGAACTGAAACAATCTGCGTAGAAATAGAGAACGAACAAACGCCAGCGTTTTGCTTCTGTAAAAAATAGCTTTTAAGTCAAGCATTGCATTAGTTTGGATAACCGTTAATTTTCCATCTAATTGGACCGTACATTTTATTCCTCATCAAGCTCATTTATAGCCCTTTAGTCATCTCACTTCAGAAGAACACCCTGAGGCCGGCGTGCATTTGGACGTATACTAGTTTTCTGGTGGAGGCGTTTACATTGCTGACGGAGTAAATTACCACCAAAGTCTCCAGTGATTATCAGCAATTTTTCCATCGGTTTCTCACCTTCGCTCAAACAGAATCGGTCCCGGACATACGTCTGGGATACATTTCCATTCCTCCGCAGCTTAGAGGGCTGATGACTGAAAATGGAAGCCGGGGGATAATTTAGCCGTCCAGGATTTTTCCGGGAAAACGCCTCCAGTTCTGTGGGGCTGTGCTGTCCACGGGCAGCCATGAGGATGACATGAAATTGGCTCGTTTCCCGTGTGAAGCAGCGAGAGACGCAGCTCGAAGGGGGTGTGAACGCTTTGTTCCCAGTCTCCCCGATGAGCGTCATGGATGCTTTCTGTTTACTCTCCTTGTGTTTTGTGGTAGATTGTAAGATGTGAGCAACTTTGCGACGTGTTGCTGCCTCCCCTGTTCCCCCGGCAAAAATAATAGGTCCAGTTGTTGTCATGGAAATGGTAATAATCCATTTTTACCCCCACAACAGGGAGGAGTGGAATCACATTTTGTATTCTAATGGCTTTGTTTCAAGTTTCGTGCTTCCTTATCGGGCAGCAGCGGCCGGCCCCGGGACTGTTTTACCAAGTGATAACTGTCCTCCATGAAATACAACACAATTCTAGGCCAGGGTTTCACCCACAGGGAAAAAGGGGGATGCATGCCCCACTTTTGATGTCTCCATTACCACTTCCTGTTTTATTCATCGGAATAGTTTTTCTGGTAATGACAAGAGGAGGACGTTTTTTTAAAGGTGTGTCTGGCTGCAAAACAGGACTTTGTCAGAAATGATGTTTAAACTGTGTGCAGCACACTTTTCTAAGAATTGTCTTACACTGCTACCCTCACAAAGCCCTTTGATTGCGGCGTAATGATGAATCAGATTAGACGATTACATTTTAAAGTCCCACTGAAGCTGAAAGGAATATCTTTTGAAAGTTTGATCCTGGATGAAATCATCGGGATGTAAATGTGCGACATGCCGCCTTTTGATCCGTGAATATCTTTGCTGTCTCGTCACGTTCTGTTTGATGCTCTGCTTTTGTTGTTGGGCCACGAGAATGCATCGGTGACACACGTTTGCCATCTATTCAGCCTGATTTCAGAATGCTGTTGTCAGATATGTTGGAGGTTTTCAAAGAACCCGCATGGCTGCTTGACATATAAACAAAGGTCATTGTTGGTTTTTATTGAAGTGTGTGACAGCCACTGGATGCATCATCTGTGCCTCTGTGCCACTCCATTGGTTTACACCCTCTGGTTTACCACATAGTCTCTAATGATGATTAATGCGGGCCGCGTGCTTATTGGCAGCATCGTGTTATTGGCAAGCTGACGGGGGCCGTTAAGATGAATAACTCTGCAAGTGTGCAAACTTCTGCGGCCGTGTTTTGTGCGCGTTGGTGAGTGTTATTGTCACATTTGTCCTCGGCGAGGCCGTGAAATCGATTCATTTCTGTCCGGCCGGTGAGGAAAATGGATTTGTGAAAAAGGGGCTGCTAACCAATTCAAGAATTTAAACCGAGCTTCTGATTGTGTTTCACAAATTGGGGATTTATTTGCATCTTGCATGAAATCCTCTTCACGCGCTCTCACTTTCCCCGTGCAGGAAATGGTCCGTCGGGGGGAGATCCTGGACGACGGCATGGAAGACGAGTTCTACCTCCGGCGTTTGGACGCCGGGCTGTTTGTCCTTCAGTTGATCTGCTATATTATGGTGGAGATCAGCAACTCGGGGATCTCACAGGTAAACACACACACACACGCACACACACACGCGCGCTGACTCCGGCGTTCTTGATGAGTTTTTCTCTCCAATCAATTATCATTAAAACGTTGGATCTGGCAAGCTGTAACAGCAGGCGGGATCAGATGGCTTTCATGGTACGCTGTAGCCGAGTCTCACTTCAGGGTGAGTCTGGGATTCTGGCAGCGTGGCTTTTGTCATTTGGAAGTGGAATCCCAGCTCTCATCGTAACGAGTGGGCGTCTAAATCTTGTAAACGGTTTCTTTATAGGGTGCATTGACTGCAAGATGTCGTTTTAGATTATTGTGCGTTAAACGGTTGACTATTGTTAGGAATCTGTGGTGTTGATGGATAAAATAACACTCTTTTTCATAAATAGTTCTGATCATTTAGTTCAAACAGCAGCAGTTCAAACAGCGGAGCTAATTCTGCCAGAGCTGAAAGCACAGACACAGGCCTTTCAGCATCATTTGCACAACTCTCTAGCTCCAAAAATGAATGCTTTATCTGTCTCGTAGCGCGGAAAAATCCCTTTTCTTTGAACCGCACCCAAACCCAAGAAGGGATTTCTGACCAAAACAGTAAATGACGGGGAAAAGGAAATAAGAAAAGAAAATTAATCAAATTAATAAGAAGGCAATAAATCAAGGTGGCAGGTTTTGAGTTGATGCTCTAATTGGAGTTTGTTTAAAAAAATAAAAGATAAACTTCTGAAAAGTGCCAAAGGATGTGCTCTGGATCTTTTGTTGTCCCACACTGCTAAAGGTTAGAATTTTTTTTAAAATGGGTGAAAAGAATCAAAAGTATCAATAATCAAACGCCCACACCAGCTCCTTAACAAAACGACAGAAATCCTATATCACTTTCTCTCCTTTTCTGGTTCTAGCTGCAACAGAGGGTCCATCAAATTCTCAATCTGAGAGGAGGTTCTGTCAAAGTAGTGCGCCACATCATGAGAGGTGAGTAACTGTGTCTTTCTTTGATAGTTTCATCTACTGAAGGAAAATGGGCCTGAAGTAATGCTTGGCTTCAGCACCAGTTTCACTTGCAGTGAGCAGCTGCCGTGTTGCTTTTTGCAATAGAATAAAAAAGAAACATTTCATGTCGTTATGAGATAATTGTCACACAATAATCTTAATTCTGTGGTTGAGTGTTTTTAAAGCATCGGCTTAAAGAATTTGTCACTCCCCGCTCTCCCTATGGTATTATGCCATCACAGCAAGTCATTATATGATTATATCAGCCCTTATTCTTGAGTTTTTCTTTTCCTGATCTAAACAAATTCAGGAAATACACCATTTATAGCAATAGATACATTAGATTTAATAGAAAAAACTAAATAAAGGCCAGGTTTTGCAGAAGGATTACTATACCAGACCAGATACCCACAAAAGCACAGTTTTAATGATAAACCAACAAAAACCTAAATATTTTCATTTGTAAATGTTATGTTTTTATTTAACCAATTTTAAACATGGAATATTCCATTGAGATCACCCATCTCTTTTAAAACGAAGGCCTTGTAAAACTAAAAAACCATCGAACACAACCCATGAAGAAAAAAAAACGAAAGGAAATACAGTTCCACAGTTCCACAATGTGGCGGCCATCTTGAAAGCTGCCATATTAGATCAGGTTTTTCCGGTAGGGGTTTCATGTAGCTCATCAGAGAAGAGCAGAACAGTCCAAGAAATAAATTGCCATATTCAGATTTGCATTATCTCTTATGGTCCACGAGTTATCGGCACACAAATTTACAACGACTGCGAACCTTGCCTGTGACGCACAGCTGTTTGACGCGTTCAGCACCAGGGACGGCCCACCGAGCGGCCAAGCAGATGGCGGCCGGTGAAGGATGGTGGTAAGATGACTGGCCTTTGACCCCGTGGATCTGCTGCGGGCTGGGACCTGCCACATTAGAGAGCTGCAGGCAAATGGCTAAAAGGCTTATTAGATATGAAACGCAGACACGCATCTGAAAACGAAGCAGCAATAAATAGATAAAGGTGACGAATTGAGAGCATCCAGACAGAGGAGGACGTTCCGTGTCGTCAAGCCTGGGTTCAGGTGGTAACGCTACAGTCTGAAATGCTTTCTGGCGTGCAAATCTGCACTGTAATTGCATCAAATTCACGCTTTGAGAGCAGCACAGGCTGTCTCGTTGTCATTCAATCTCCTTCTTTTTTTTTTTCCTCCACTCGCCTAAAGATTTCCTGTCCTGCTATATTTGTTTACTCTGCGATTTTCAAAGACCCGGCAGGTGTGTTATTTTCGTCCTTGTTCGACATTCATCCTTCCCGTTTCATTGTCGGATAAAGCCCGAGGACGAGTCCCCCAACACGCGCGCTCGGGCTCCGGGTGGCACGTAAAGCCGGAGATGGAGTTATCTGTCACACACGGCGGTGCTAGAAAGTGTGGCAATTCTTCAGCCCCTCTCTGTGTGTGTGTGTGTCTCTGTGTGTGTGTTTGGGAACGTGGAGGAGCTGGTCAGGGCCGCCGTGTGCACTCACTTATTAACATTTCTTTGTTTAGGCGTGAATATGATGTTTGCCAATATGATGCATCCATATTTATGGTAACTTGTGTGACCCGGGTCACTGACATGGAAATATTTCCAATATATCAACATGCAGAAATATGAAGATCTATGCACATGTTGTACTTTTAATTCAGTTTACTCTGTTTCATGTGTTTAATGCGATTTAGAACCGAATCATTTATTTGTGACTACAGAGGTGAATTTTGACACCAGAGCATTTGTGCTCTCCAGTGTGTGTGTGTGTGTGTGTGGGTGCGTGTGTGTGTCTTAATATGAGCTCACCCTTTGCATTAGGCTAAGACATGCAGCCATCCCCCATTTCATGTGCCACGTGCGGTCAGCGTGAGATGGCGGGAAAAGGTTAAGCACATGCAGAGTGTGTCACCGACGCCGCTGTCCTGACCTTAATGGCTTCAGCCCGCTGAACGAGAAGCTGCTCTGCGGGAAAAAAGACCCAACTCAGATTTCCAGCTGCTCGCAGTCTGATCCGTGTACATTTTTTCAAAAAAAAAAAAAGTTTTCCCGGAATCGTAACTACGAAACTGAATTCTTAGGATTTAATGAGTATTTAGTTTTCCCCCATTTCTTTTGTAATAATAATATCATATTGAAATAATGAGCAATGGAGGAAGGAACGGGGAAAGAGATGGTGGAATCATCATCATCTTCATCAAGGTCCAGGCCTGTTTTTCTGCATCTGGGCAGTTATGCTCGCCGTCACCAACGAAAAGTCCCCGTCAAAGATAAAGTATTTCTCATCCCAGACTTGAACCATATCTGATCAGTGCAATGGGCGAAAATACAACCTTAAAAATGAAACAATCACAAGAGGACACGGCAAACTCTGAGCTTTAGATCCTTTTATACCATTTTAAAATGCATTAACTGTGCCCACATCTATAAATGGGCTGAATAGCTTAATTTATCCCATCTTTCAAATCCTTTTTTTTTTACTCGTTTCCGCGCGCGACAGCTCGATAATTTTGAAAATAATGTCGCCATTGTTGCACACTCCAGAGTTTTAAAGGGCTGCTATTGCTCAGGCTCACACCGAACGTCAGGCCCAGTCCCCCTCCGGGGGCCCGCTGCTGGACAGGGCTGTCCCTGTATTCATGGCAGATCAGTCCCAGTCGCTGACCTGAGTAACGGCAACTCCTGGTACTGTATTGTCCTCTGCTGTGTTGCCGTGGTGACCGAAGGGGAAGGGATCGGCATGCAGAAGAAAAGCTTCTGCGGAGAGTTGGAGAGTCGCAGTATTTCTGACCTCTCTGACTGTACAGACACGGAAACACGCGTGCATTCGTCCGCAGTGACCAGTGGACGGTGAAAGGGCTTTTTTATGTTTTTTAATGTAGCTGTTTGTGTCCCCTCTCCTGCTCTCTTAGTGGGCCTGTATGGTATTAAGTCAGAGGGTATCTCACATGTGTGGGGTCAGTTCAAATCCTCAGTTCACTTCCATGACTTCCTCCAGCTCTGTGGCCGGTCATAATCTGAACCCCGCTCAGAATCCCAATGATGTGGTGACCCCTGTACTCCAGAATAAGCTGATGTAATGCAGAGCGTGCTGCACACACAAACAATCTCCAGAAACTTGTCAAGTCCTCCGATCCAGCTTCCTACCAGCTCTGATTTTACGTGACGTTGAGCCTGGCTAAGCTAATTGCAATATCTACAAGAGTAAGGGAAGAATCCAAACTAGGTTTTTGCAGCACAACGGCAGCTAAATGCGAGTTGAAATGGGACCGCTCCACTTTGTTTTGCCCTCCCTTGTATGCCAGTTTCTGCCCTCCTCTTTCTTACTGCGGCTTACTGATTATCTCCCCGCACATCAAGTGTGTGCCTGGAAAAATATTTGTGCCAAAAAATATGGACGGAAGCCAAAAACGCGGTTTATTTTCCCCCTCCCCTTCAATTCCTCGTTAGCAGAGAGCAGTGGACTAAGCATTCAGGCAACAGCTTTTTTGTTTTTACTGAACTGCAGAGTCTTCATAACCTATAGAATTTGTGGATACAATTCTAAGAATCTAGACTTCTTTAGGCTTCATCTCAAATCTTGCCGTGTTTGAAGGCGGTTCTAATTTGAATAACAAGTATGCTGCAGGTTTTCGATGAGTTTTGAGCTCATAGAAATGATGAAAAACTGCAACAAAAAAAAATCCATCTGACGCTCTCTTAAACTTCTAGAGTTCCTCCCGGGTCCTTTAACCGGTGACGATCCCACATGTGGAATCTCATGATGTAAAAACGTCCTTCCCTCCTCCAAAAAACATTTCCTCCGTGTCGTTGAGGGCTATGATTCCTGCTTCTGGCCGTAGTCAGGAAAGCCCCCCCCCCAATTCTCATCTCTCTGCTGTGTTGCCCAGACAAAAACATTTCTTTACCCCCTCACAATCTCTCTGTCTCGGCGTCCCCGGGTTTAACGTGTAATCCCTCCTTCAGAGGCAGGCTCTGCGATGGAGCGGACGCACAGATTCCACCGGGGCTGCAGCAGCTGCAGCCTCCTCTCTCTGCGCATTAGACTCACAAATCGACCGGCGAGCGCTCTCAAAGGCCTCGCGTAGGAGGCACAAACACACCGAAGAAAACAGCGGAATATTCAGAAACGCCACAGAGAAGCGCGGCGCGAGAAAACCGAGCAGAGGGTGGACTCTGCCTCCGGCTTCTTGTCAAATTAAAGCATATTTCCAAGTGGAAAGTTGACTTAATGTAATCTTCTTTTAGGGCAAATGATTGACAGACTAAAGGCCGCACTCCAATGACGGTCTTTAAACACTCGCTTTCAGCTTTATCCTTTTCAAATGCGGAGCAAGTGCAGTGACATTCCCGGGAAGATTTCCATCTGACGCCGGAGAATCATCCTTGTAATTATTCAGTTAGGAAGTGGAAGAACTCGAGTAATTGCCAAGATGACAGACTGAGAAATTACCTCGTGGGGGGTCTTTGATGCTCTGAACTTAAACCTGCTTGCGTCCATATTTCAGGACATATTTCCACACAAAGCAAGCTTCAGATGAGGAGCTGCTCCGAAACACAAAAGAAGGAACAAAGAGTTGTTTTGCGCTCGATGGGCTTTTTTTCCCCTGCTATTTCTTATTATCCGAAGCCACTCGACCTTACTATTCTGAGGATTGCCCGCTTGCTGTGTTTATTATTACACCACAGCCGTCAACAATTATCAAATCTCTCAGATTTTTAAATGGAGAATTAACAGAACACAAGAAGCGTAATGATTTTTAAGAGCTTGGCCGCTCTATTCGGCTTTTTAAGACATCGTTTTGCTGTTGGCAGAGAAAAGGGGTTGAGTTGAGAGCCCAAACGTTCACGGCTTTGGCTGTTCTGAGGCAGCTGTGTCGATGGGAGGCGTTTCAATAGGGAAGCCTTCAGGTCCACCACAGAAAACTCTGTGATCAAGTCTGTGACCAACAATAAATGGGGGTCAATGTTAAGGACAGAACCTGATGAAAACTTAATGAAAATGAACAGGTGGACAGGGCCATTTTGGCCACATTTCTCCCTCCATTTTATTTTTTTCTGGCTAATAATGGACCCTTCTACAGAGAAAAGGGAATAAGGAACTTTCATAAGGAAAGACTTGAATGCGGTTATGTGGTCACAAAGCATCATCATTTTTAAATTCCTAAACCCCTTACACGCCGTTACGTGTCCAGATATTGGACTCCTCCCACAGTGTCTGCTCGGTAAACTTCAGGATGTTCTCGAGTGTGGTAAAGGAGCACAGAGGCTCTGGCCTTTCACTCCTTCAGCCTGATTTTGCTCTGTTTTTGCTCACTGTGTCACACTTTGAGCTTACAGTACACTTATCACCTACTCGGGTTTGCCGGCTGTCTGTTCTTGTGGTTTCATGTATTTATCCATCTCAGTTTTTAAGGATGTTGTCAAACAGCTTTTATTGTGCCATCGAACCCGCTAATCCTCAAATCTGTCCTCGCCTTTTGCAGAGTACGCCGAGAGCATCGGGGACGGGAAGGCCGAAGAGTTCAAAGAGGCTGAGCGGAAGAGGATCATGGACCTTGTAGACAAATTCTAATCTTTTTCTTTATCATATAACTGAGTCACTCACCCAGAAACTGACTCTTGAATCCAAGCAAAAGGGTCTCACACATAACATCAAAGCCCAGAACGCTTAGTTTGAGATGCACAAATAGAAAGAGGCTTATTTTAAGGTTGTTAGGCAGCATACAAATTGGAAAATTCTCCGTCATCTGGCAAAATAATGAAATAAAGCTGTTATTAATTAAGCTGTTTGGGTCAAATGAGCACAGCGTAAACTTGTGAAAATCGAGAAGATGGAAAAAAAGCGCATGGAAACGTCTGCTGTCAGTGAGCAGGCAGAAATGTAGCATCTGAGCTTAAACACGCAGCACAGAGAAGAGCTCACTGAGCTCATCTCTGTGAAACTAAACCGGGCTAACTATCCCCACCATCCATCTGAATATCTGCTTCTTTTTTCCCACTTAACCCGGTTTGTTTGTTTGTTTGCTTGTGTTCGGACTCGGGTGTAAAATATTTTCTAATAAAACATTTGGTAATAAAATGCTGATTTCATGTTTGGGTTCCTTTTGATGAACGCCGCGCCTCGGTCTTGATCACCATCTGCTCGCGTGAATCTCATTAGATTGGCACCTGATTGCAGCGGCTCTGACTCACCGCGTCTCAGCGTGAGAACCCTCACAGAGAGGCAGACCTGGCCCCGCCGTATTCCACCCATCCCACCCACGGAGTTCTCAGCCCACTGCTGTGTTTGTCTTTGTGATGTTGCTCACATGGATGTGGAGGTGTGCTGAATACACAAACAAACCCACCCGTATTCTCCTTTTTTCTCATGCACCTTGCTGTCTTTAAGACGAGGATCCCCCTCAAAAAAATCCCAATTACTTTTGCATTTTAGATGTGCGAGAGACAAACCGGTGCAGAAATGCAAACTCTTGACCTACTTAGAATGATTTTACTGCTATTTTTAGCCTGGTGTGAGTCATCACGGCACACGGTAGAGTCAGACAAACCATAGATAACATTCATTTACTAAACTTTCTTTCTTTTTTAAAAGAATTTGATGGTAAAACTCCTCCACTGCTGTCAGAGACGAGCATCCAGTGGTGGAGCTCTCCCTCTGGTACTGTAAGACAAGAGCTTGTGGTAAATGGTAAATGGTAAATGGTTGTCTTCGCAATGAACCCGTAAATATGTTGTTTTCATTTAATTCAAACTATATTTGTATATTCATTTTCTATCTTTATCTACAGGGAAATGGTAGAAATAATGTGGCTTAAGAAAAGGCAGCAGAATGAACTCAATAAAAGCAGAAATCTTGCATGGGGGTGGTGCTGATGTATTTAAATATCCATGATTCATCAAGCGGGTGATATCATTTGACCCTTAATGCGATCTTTGGCGATCTTTGATGATGGAGCCATTGGTCCATTACGTTGACCGTTCAGTGGCCTCTTTCATTCCACTGACGGGGAGAGAGTCCACTTCTGTTTGATCACATAGGATAAAGGTGAAGATTCAGAGGGGGGCTCCCTTCTGTGATAAACCAGGCCAGGAACCTGCCCTCCCAAACACACACCCGACCCCTTTCCGCTTTCTGCTCCACATTTTGCTCAAAGGTGACGAGAAACATCTCCGGTTCGCTCTGGGCCGAGGAGCGTTTTGGCGCCATTAAATCGTCTTTTCCCCCCTAAGCCCCCCCCCCCCCCCCGTCTAACGCATCTGTTGTTATTAAGCTCGGCGTTTAGCGCGCCGTGTCCTCTCCGGATCCCTGACCATGATTCCTGGCAGGGAGCAGCAGTGCTGGGAGGGAACGGAAGGTTACTTAGCGACAGATGCCACATCTGCTGCCTTTCCTGAGCGTCCCCACAAACCCTAATATTGCTCGGTAACAAGATGGGGGAGAACGGCGGGGCGTAGTTTTGCATACTGTATTGGCAGAGGAGGTGCGGCGCCATGCATCTCTTATCAGTGATTATGACTGCAGCATGTTTAACAGCGGTCGTACAGCAATTTCACAGCCGAGGGGAAAGGAGAATAATTGTATTTTCCAAATGACTGAGTGCAAACACTGTGCACTGCTGTGCTGCTGGGCTCGTGTCTTCCTGTACGGACTAAGAGGAGACGGAACTGTTATTGATAGCGAGCACAGGGACTGAAGAAACGAGTCAAAATGGCAACGTGGAGCTTTGAAATAGTTCACAACCTGAAGTTCAGGCTCAGTATTAAGCGGCACCATCTTATTATTGGTCTTTTTCAAACCAAATTGTTCTGAAAGGCAAAGTGTTCCACATATTTAATGAGGATTTGTGTGTGATTACATTTTGGAACCAAATAACAGTAAAACCGATTTAGTCCTAATTGATAGATCAGTAACTGTTACCTATGATTAAATTAGTCTCTCACAAGAGGAGTTTGGTAAGTTTGCAACAGCTGATTTATGTAAAATAGATTACAGTAACAATTCTCTTTTGAACATTGAGCTATATAGTTGTTGTTCTTCTGCAATTCAATAATTTGGTGCATTGAATTTCAGCTGAAACACGATTTCGTGACTTTCAAATGGCATGTTTACCCAGACGGATGATAACTAACGGGGTGCCTCTGACAGGAGAAAAGCAGGTCTGTATTTGTTTGGCGGTTTAACACCTTCCTCCTTTATCAGTGAGGATGTGAAGAAAGACTCAGCGTGAGACCTGACCTAGTTGGTCTACTGACAAAACCCCCTGATTGGAGTTGGATTCCAACTCTGTGGTATTTCTTTAATTGCAGAAGAGTTATGACAGTCGGAGAAGGAGAGAGATGGGAGGGAAGCGTTTTTCCGGAGGAACTGCAGCACCTGAATAACAGCACGGATCGCTCTACATCATCCCCCTTTGCCTCCCGTTCTGACAAACACACCAGCTCCCGTACACAGGAAGTGATCACTCAAACAACAAGCCCAGAACAAAGCTATTAATAACTGCTGCTGTACATCTGTCCAGCAGGGGCTGAACCAAGCTGCTGTAAGCACTTCCTCTGGCTGGTCACACTCCCTGCTGCAGAAATACACTCACTTCCCTTTATTGTGCTAAAACCAAAAAAGATATACCAAGTTATACCCGACACTGAGAAACACCTGGAATCGATAAAGACAGAAACATGTAGCATGGAGCCAGTGACACAAAGGAAGCCAGAGGAAGCCGAGGGACAAGAATGAAGGTGGAGGAGACACAAGGAAACAGGAAACCAAGACATACATCAAAAGAAGAAACAGGAAGCTAAACGCGGTGGAAGTTACAGGTGGGAGTCTAAATGAACTTGCATGGACAAAACTAGAAGAATCAAGATGCATTGTGAATGTCAATACTCCAAACCACATGGAATATTTAAACAGAAACCCTAAAGCAAAGTCCAAAAACGTCAAATCATGATTTCTGACTTAAAAAGAGTGCAGAACATCTGGAATAACTTAATTTAACTGAGGCTTAATGAGCTTGTGCAAAGGTGTGCAGCTCACCAATCAGTAGAAATGGCATTTAAGGTCAGCGGATGGGTAATTGTTTATCCCAAATGTGGGTTACGGTTTGTTCAGTGCTCAACTCAAACACTCAAAAAGATAATTTACATTTTTAGCTGTTTCTCAGCAGGGATTTGCTGTTCTTGGCAATTAGATGAGAAAATGTCTGTTCTGCCAGTGGCACCCGTCCAAAAGAGAGTTGGAAGAAGCTGGCATGTACAACGAAAGACCAAAATAGACAGGAAAAAACTCCAGTGATTAGAGGTAACTGATGTGAAACACTCATGAAAAAGAAAAACATCTTATATTAGAACTTTTAAAAATGGATTTCCACCTCCACCTCCGATTCACAAGCCAATAATAACCATACCTTGAGTACGATCAGGAGATCTTAAGATACCCAACACTGTAGAGGGTACATCCTCACTGTATTATGAGCAAAAGCTGCAGAAATGTACTCAGCCATCGCAGAATTTCATTATTATTTGGACACTGAAACACAGTCCAGTCGCTTCCATGGCATTTTGCTGAATGTCAGGGCAGTGGACATCCAAACATGTTGGAGTTTTCTGTCCCTGCTTCTGTTTTTGCCACATCACAGTCCAGCAGCACCACTGAGAGCCGTGCATTCACACGGCTTTACTCCGACTCCAGAGGATTTACAGACCATATAAAGTTTGGAGTTCAGAAATCAAGGTCTAAAGAGCACAAACATTTACATTGAACTGATTTTGATTAATCGTTTTTAAATTTTCAATTTCAATACATATATATAGCGATTAAAAGGTTAGAGAAACATTTACATTTTGGCCCCCAAATAGGTATCTGCTTTCAGCATCCTCAAACAATAAAGCTGAGAGTTTACATTCCTATTTCACCAATGAAAACAAGTCAAATGTGTTGGAGTAATCTTAGTTTTAACAGTGTACATAGAAAATTCTTCATTCTCTTTATTGTGTACAGTACATGTCTGGAGGTCCAAGAGGCAATCCCAATAAAAAGTCTGTAAAACAAAGAAAAAAGCCTCCATCTGTCCTCACAGAGTGAAATAAATTCAACACTAGCTCTTTTGAAAGAAGTCTTTCTACCCAGTGAAGATTATCGGAGCACTAACAATCTGTCCGTAACACCCAGCACATCACGGTGTTTTCTCAGTGGGAATAAAACCCAGCGCAGTTCAAAGTGTGCTCAGAGACAGGCTGGATTTCATCACCATGGACAGCGACACCGTCCTGCAAATGGATGGAAGACATGGACCAAAACAGCCCTCTGCATGTGGTTCTGATCCATTCATCCTGCTTCAAACTGATTCCAAATACTATCTAAGCAAAATCTAAAACTGTTTAGACATGACAGAAAAATACTGGGAAAGTCATTTCTCATGGCATGATTCTTGTATTGGGTAATAATGTGGTGATGGTGGCCTTCTGTTTAATGTTATTGTTACAGTTTAAAACACTGTTCAGTGCTTTAAACCTCTCCTACATGGTCCTCTGAGGAAAAAAGCGTCCTATTTTCTCTCATAATTAACATCTTAG